ACTCTTATCTGCACCAAATAGATTGAGTTTATCACTTGGTAAATCTAATTGGAAAAGGAGTATACTTGCCCAAGAACACAGTAGGTTTGGTTACATTCATGTTGACGAAGTTCCAAGTTGTAGTTTGTCTAAATTTTTCATTCATATCTCTGTCACAAATGATGGGGACATGGATGGAAACCATGTTCTACTGTTATTCTCACGTGTGCCACAGAATATTCAAGGTGCTCCACTGAAACAACTAGTGGGATTTGATCGCGTGCATGTCCCAGCACGTAAATCTGTTGAGACAAGTCTCTCGATAAATCCTTGTGAGTTTCTCAGCTTTTCAAATGACCAAGGAAACAGAATACTGGCACTCGGTGAACATACTCTCATTTTAGATGATATTGAGCATATTGTATCCATTGAAATGTGACAAGAGCCATCGTGGTTATGATCGAGGAAATCAATTGCCTCTGCATCGGAGGGTTTTCTTGCCTGAAATGTTCATAGAATAAGAATACTGTTGTGACCTGATTCTCAGATTTTTCTCCATTTAGCACCAGAGCATGAAGTTGAGGAATTATAGGATTTTTGTATGCTCATTTGTACAATTACAGATTCAATAAGAATGTGAAAGATTTGTAATTGTCCCTTTTATTCTCTGTTACTATTAATGCTTGAAACTGTTTCTATCACATATTCATATTTCCAGAATTGTTTGATCATTTGACATGGATTCTAATACAAAAAGTTGACTAGGACCATCTTTGAGCTAAAACGTTTGTTTTCACATGCTAGATTTGTGATTTACGACTATTATGTGAAGCTTTTCTTTTCGTATCAACAAAAAGGATACCAACGTCATTGATGCAAAGATTTGGAATGAGAGTGAGATGCAAAGTGCAGAAAAGAAAATTTGAATTCATGATGATATTGCGTAATTTAATGATTAGTACATGTGGAAGCTATAAAGGTCGTATATACCTTCAACATACAGCTATGTCTTCACATGAAGCAATAGCACGAATGTTACTTTTATTATTCTTTTCATATTTATTATGACTTATTTTTTTTTTACTGCTTCCCTTTTTTTTTTTTGCTCGAGGAGCATGCTTACTACTTGAGCAACCCCTCTAAGAGTGATCTCTTGTTTATGACTTGTGATAGGAAAGTGTTCTTTCTGGAATTGTAGTAGTGTCTGTGGTGTAGCTTCTATTAATTTTTCTGGTCGTTGTGCTTGTATGAGGTGGGCCAAAAAAATTATGATTTGCATGTGAAATAGAACAAACGAAAAAAGCACCTTTTTGCTAGTTTCACATGCAATGGTAGCTTCAGGATTCTTCCTTTCTTGTTTACAATCAAATTGAACCAAAAAGAAAATGACACATAATAACTGCAGCAGTTGGTAAAAGTATATATATATAATAAGAGTCACCAGCTTTTTTTTATTCCTGGGTACGTCCAGTCACACTTGATAGTTAATTTGTTCATATATATTCGTCACCCTTAATAGCAACAATTTTAATAGTCTCGGAGTTTTAATTTTTTTGATATTTTATAGTAATAATATTCGTCTCCTTTTTGTCAAGTAGCGAAGAAGATATACACGTACTCTCACAAGTTTGAATTTTAGTAACATCGTGTCAATATTAATGACATTTTTAGTCTATGATCAAGAAGATAGTGATTCAAGTAGCTAGTGTCATGATTTTAAATTCTCTCTTAATTATACATGGGGTAGCGGGTAGGGAAAAGGAGAAATAAGGAGAGAATTATAAGATGGAAAATCGATCCTCATCGGTCAACAATAAAAGTGCAGATATACAATTAACTAAACTATTAGGATCTATCTCATAATTTTAGTTACCTTAACAAATAACGACCATACTTGGATTTCCTGGTCCACTTTTGGTTATGTAAAAATGAAAGGAAAATAAAAAAAAGAAGGGAATCGTCATCTTTTCCTTGTAAACTTGTTGAACGAATCGTTAGATTCTAATTTCTAAGTCAATTTGGGTCGAAGATCAAATCTCACAAATTTCACATATCAGACAAATATATTAAAATGAGATAGTGCAATATTTTCAAACTTTCCTGCTCCATTCAAAGTTTCATATCCACTAATTTCCCAAATTTAAGGACTAAGATTACTTGGAGTTTTTTCTTCTTTCTGAACACAAGAACAACTTAAATTATAGCATGGAAAAATTAATTTACTGTCCTCTACGCTCCCCAGTAACATTCACACTATCAACTTACTTGTTTACATTAAATTACATGAATTTAATTATAAATTATATCAAATATGAACATCTATTTTTAATATAGTAAACAAGTAAAAATGAATAGAGAAAAGCGTGAGTAATATTCATAAACATTATCTTCAATTTTTATTTGAAGTTTCTAATGCGACAGTTAAAAGTACAGAACAACTCAAACAATAGTATGTTTGAACTTTAATGATCTCTATATTACTGCTTTCCAGTTGTCGTCAATAGTACCATTCACTCATTAAATATGAGATTTTCATTAACAAAAAAGGACGAATATGAATGTGACAGGATGTAAGAGTTTTCACTTTTTTGGATTCAAGTTTAGGTAAAATCTTAATTCATATTCATACCAAAATCATATTTAATAAAATAAATATATATATATCAATTACCTTAGTTTAAAACTTTAAATAAAAAAAAAGTATATGTTCAAATACGTATAATCAAACTATTGATATAATATAAATAACTTTTTGACAGATAAGGGAAAGAGAGGGGGAAAAAAAACGGAAAATGTAAATGTACCTTTATTGACTAGGAATATTCTAATTTGTGTTAAAAAAGAATGGATTTATATTTTTCTTTTTGTAGTAAAGGCTTTACTCTAATTCACTGACGGCAGAAATTGAGGAAGTGGATTCCATTACTTTAATGTTTTTAAAAGATTAGCTGGCGCTCTTTTCTTCAAATCCTAAACCAATTAACATTTGAGAATTTAAAAGGATTTTTGCGAATCAATTCTCAAGAGTTAATTTGATTAATTTTTAAAATTGAATTGGTTTACACTAATACGATATTTTAAATTTATATATTTTTTAAAAATATTTAAATTAAATTATTTCTAATTGTAATAAGATAATATATTTTTTATACGAAATGCTAACATGATGAGACGGAGGAAGTAACAAAATATTTTTGATTTTATTTGGTGGAATATAGACTAGATTCAAAGACTAGTTGTAAGATGTTTAGGTGGAGCCTTGTGTTTACGTGGGGCAACGCACGCCCATTTCCCATCAACTGTCCATATCTTTTTGTCTCCTAATTTCTGTTTTTCAATTTTAAATTTCGTACGTCAAAATCTTAGATATCGTTTGAATTTGGTTTACCTTTAATATTTCAAAATTAGTCTTCAAAAACACTTAAAACAATAATTTGAGAAAATTACAGCTTTACAATCAAGAAAACATTTATACTTATTTTTGAAAAACATTTACCTTCCTCAGCGATTATGATTTAGAAAATATTGACAATCCTTTAAAGGGACTAGTATATATTAATCAAATATTTGAATTATAATTCGATTTATGTTAATATTAATAAAGAATTTTTATTGTATTTGTAGCTCAATTTTACTAAAAAAAAGTATGCGTATATTTTCAAAGATTCATTATATAAATAAGTTAATTCACTAAAATATGTCACATTATCTTCAACAAGCTATAAAATCACATACATGTTCTATTGAAGTTAATGTATATAATTGAATAAGGTGATTTTTTTTAAAAAAATTGATGATTTTTTCTTTTTTGGTTTTGTACAAAAATTAGTTTATATTTTGTAACCAAATCTCATTAGAGAAAGGTTCTTTAATTTTTCCAAAGTCCGGAAAAAGAATTTAGGCGAACGAAACATTTGCAAGAATTTCCAAAAGAAAAATCTTTAAAAGATTTCGAAAATAAATGTCATCTAAAATATATCCCATTTGATACCATAAACGACAAAACTTCATGTCCAATTGTCAATTGGTGATATAATAATAGAGTACATGAAGAAAATAATTATATTAGTGCATAAACCTTAAATTTTGAATTTGAAGATTGCAAAAAGAATAGTCCTCGTCACTCTTTATTACTACTATTTTACTTTTGAATGAATATCAATCAAAGGAACTGTCCACATCATTCTAATGGAAAATAAATACTCTTCTATCTATCAATACTTGTCCACTATTAATTTTACACAAAGAAACTATAAATAAAATAATGATTTTACTATATCACCCTTTAAATATAGTAAATTAATATTTTGGAAAATGTAATAAAGAAATAATTATAATTAATAATAAGGATAAATTATAAATTAAATGTAAAATTATCTATTAATTTAGTGGACAAGTATTGTTAGACATCCCAAAATAGTAAAGTATACAACTATTGTTGAACGGATGAAGTAGTATAAATAGTCCATCCGTTCACTTTGACTTATCACTTTATTCTAAAATAGATTTTCATTTTTACTTATCACTTTTAATATATTAAGAAAATACAATTATATTTTCTATGTTTTACCCTCAGTATTAAATACATTTTTTCCAAATTATTTTTCAATGATAAAATATATATTTCAATAATTATTTTCTTAATAAATATGCCAAGCTAAATAGTGATAAGTAAAAATAAACAAATGAAATATTCCTCTAAATTAAATTCTTAATTCCGATACCATTCTCGGAACAAAAACTCCCCTTATATTTCTCAAATTTGCTAGAGTGGGCCATCACTCCGTGGGCCCATGACGCGCAAATCAGTTTCCGTGTGGACCCTCTTAGTAATCCTTTAAAGATCAAACTCTCTAATTCTAAAAGCCCCAACTACTACTATCACTCTACGTGTATCGCCGCACAGGCACTACACTCATAATAGTCTCTCTCATCTAAACATAAAAAAATTAAAAAGAAAATCCCCAAAATACCAAACCCTCTCTCTTCTCGCTTGAATTTTGGCGGCGGCGGCGGCAGCAATGGAGAATCAAAAGGTTAAGCTAATGTGTAGCTATGGTGGAAAAATCCAGCTTCGTCCTCACGATCATCAACTCTCCTATGTTGGCGGCGATACCAAAATCCTCACTGTTGATCGGAACGTCAAGTTTTCCGATGTAGCTGCAAAGGTGAATTGTCTTTGTAATTGCAACGCGGAGGTTTTTATAAAGTACCAGTTGCCTGGCGAAGATCTCGATGCACTTGTTTCTCTTATCGATGATGACGATGTTGAGCAAATGATGGTTGAATATGATCGCATGCAAAAAGTTTCCACAAAACCCGCTAGGTTAAGGCTTTTCCTCTTTTACCCGATTCGTTTACCAGAATCGCCGTTGAATCCGGATTTTTTATTCGGATTCGATAAGGATTACAACCCGAACCCGAGTTCAACGGCAACAGAGGATCTTCTGCAATTGCAATTCCCCGAAAATTCAGGATTGGATATGTCAAAAAATGAGGGAAGCGGAGTGATTGCAGTTCCGAAAATAGTTTGTGGTGACAACAGCAGCAGCAGCTTGTTGGTGAAGAATCATTACACACAAGGGTTACGTGAAAGGCATGTGAATGGTGGGGCCTATGGTAATGCGGTGCAGATGGTTTACGGGGTACCACTGATGACTGGTGGGTATCACACTGGGTTTGGGCAGTTGGGAGTAGTGGCTGCAGGTGGTGGCCAATACATGGACCAGCCTGTCTACAATTTTGTGCCTGCAGTGACTTCGGTGATGGTCCCAGATCAGCACAAGATGATTGTGTCTACAACTGATACTCTCAGCCGTGAAATCAAAGGTTGATCAGAACGTATCGTAACAGAGGTCATCATATCACCTTCATCCTTTTTTTTTTTCTTCTTTCCTTTTTTGGGTCAACATTGGTGAATTCTAAAATGGTACATAGAGTAAATAGCGACTGCGCTTTCTTTTTCCATTGTCATTTACTAAGGTGTTTGTTTACTCTTTCATATGTGTAATGAATTTTTACCCCTTTTATGGAGTATATGTTTCCCATTATGTACATTATTATCATCATCATCATTCGTTGGAGATCATTAGGAGTACAATTTTTCCCCTTAAAAAAAAAGATTGAGGTTGTTTTCTTCTTTCCTTTTTTGATACTTTATGGTGGTCCTATCTATGGCGACAGCTACGATCTCTTACATATCATTAATGGAGCCACTGCAACTTTTTCTTGTTCCTGCTTTTCCCTTTAATTAGTAAAGTTTGTTTATTCGTGAGCTACAAGCTGGATTATTTTTCTGCTACATAATTAACTGAGTTTTACAGGTCACTAGAAATGGCTGAATATGACGATTCAAATTATTGTAGATGATAGTGTAGAAATTGTACGCAAAGCTTGTTAACCTAAGTAAAGAAAAAATTGAAGTTATAATTTGGTAAGTATGAATAATGCAATCATCAGGCCCTAGCTACTTGTAGGTAGGAACCAGGAATGAAACGCAAGCCACCTACTTGCTATCGTATGGTACAAGTAAATTCTATAGCTTTATCTGTTTTAATATTCAGATCAAGTTTTCCGGATTAGGTAACTATTCTGCTGTCATTAGTCTAACTAATAAATGATCAGTGTACAATTTCAATATTATTTCCTGCATTAGATGGATTCTCTTGATAGGTGACGGGCCCAACTCTGCCTAGGAGTTGGCCTTGTGCATATTTAGGATCAACCCATTAAAATACTGTCCTGAGTACTTCAACTATTTGATGTTGGCCCAGAAAATCTTTTTTTAAACTAGATGCCTATCCGTGAAAAACCATGTCAATTGTGTCATCAAATGCGAATATAGGCCTGATTAGGCTAATAATTTAAAACAAAGTTGAAAACTAAGTTTAGATATTGAGTTCATTGTTTAAATAGTTATTGAAAAATTGGTGAACTAAGTGATTTGTTATACTAAAATTACTAATTAATCTTCTGTTATTTCAGTTGAAGGTCTCACTCAAATAAAAAAAAGTAATATCGTATATATTCAATTATTCTTTGATGATGTGGCCTTGATTTTTTAAACCAAAAAAGGAAGAAAAAAAAACAAAACCATTTTAATATGAGATAAACATTAGGGTGAGTCATTTAGCAAAGTTGCACTCTATCATTTTGATTTGGGAAATCGATAAGAGGTCTATCTCCCCCTTATTTTGTGGCTTCATTGATAAATGCTGGCCTAAGAGTTCTTCTTTTTCTCTTCTCTTTAGCTGTCCTTTATGCTTTTATGTCTACAAAAATTATCTCTTTAGTTTTACCGTCATTTATTTAGGCTACGGTTGTAAAAAAATAAATAAAATAAAAAAAGGAGAGGAAAGAAAGAGAAGGATATTGGATAACAGGGTGTGTAACTAGACCCTTGCAATTTTTATTTATGCTTTGTCACAAACAAAATATTCCTTGTGTAATTCACAAGCTGGTTAGTCCATAGAGGTAGAATAATGTTTCCAAAATAATGATTTAGTAGTTGCAACTTCATCTAAATGAAACAATACAATTTAGATGATTATGCATGATCATGTATAACTTGCAGACATGGTTAAGTAATGAAATAAATTTTATTTGAAAGACGCATGTCATTGGTCATTGTATATTGCACTAGGCCTGGGCAAATAATTTAACTTCCAAAAGAATTTTGAGTATTGAGTTGTGCAATTTTATAAAAATCTTTCATCCAGAGAACCAACATTGCTTACTCATTTGCCTTCATGCTTCTTAATAGCTCTCAGAATTCTGTATTTACGCCTAATATATTAGGCTACCACCATGCTCAAACAGAAATGGATAAATTGGCAATTAGGTAACTGATTTGCTGTTCATTTAACTACCATTATATTTGCTCTCACTCTTTCAAGTCAATCATGTTTGAACTTCTATTACCAAATTGACTGGGCCTCCTCAAAAGACTTCATCATTTTGGACCTACTAAAGAGAATTAGAAGAGTTAACCTAAGCAACAGCCTACCCCAATCACATAAAACTAAAATATAGCCACCAAACGTATGATATATATAAGTGTATAATCTTTGTATATCAACTTGAAAAAGTAAACACCAAAACCAAACTCTTTGGGTAAAGATCCAGAAGATAATGGACTCCCTTATCTCACACGCTCAACTTATGTTATGGCCCAATACAAGTGGATTCTCCTTACTCATTCACATTTTTGCCGCTCATAACAAATAAGGCATAAATTTATATTTTCATACCATAATAGGCCATAAGTAATGCCCGCACATTACTTACGGAATGTTGCTTAGACTATTGAATGAGCAATCAATAAGATACCATTCTCTAAGGCTGTACACTTTTGAAAAATAAAGAAACAAAGTCTCTTAAGGTTGTACACTTCTGAAAAAAGCTGCTTAGCCTATTTGCACGTCCTTTTTTATTGGAGTAATAGAAGCAAGTTTGATTATTTTTGCTGCTTCCAATTGTCTTTCACAACACTTTCTGGTGATAAAGTCAATGCTACCTACCCCATGAAGATTTGGTAGGACCAACCTTTCTAATTAAAGCACATTTGGTCACAAACTCCCAATTAGTTGCTATACTTTTCTTGCATAAACTCCTTTTCATTCTATAAATGAAGAAAACCATGTGTAAGGTTAATTAGATATGCCTCTTTGTTTGTTTTGTTTATTGTTTCTTCTTTTGCTTTCCTGATTTATTTTCAATCTTTCCTTCAACAAAGAAAGTGACGTTATATGATGATAGTAACAATTGATCGAGTGACCATATGAGAAATCAATTCTTTGATTTACTTTTCCCAAACTCAAAAAATCGAAAAAGTTCAAAATTTGAAAAAGGAAATGCAATAATATTGAGTTGATGATTTATAAATTTTAATGACATTAAAAAAGCAAAAACTAAAATAAAAAAGCATCGCTAAGGGATACCTCCACGATGTTGAAGTCGCCGGACTGAGCCTATGAGATTAAAGTTCTAGTATGATTACAATTTAACTATACATTCACATTGCCTGGCTGTAGTTTATCTCATTATATAAGGAGTCTCTTGGTTAACATATTAGATATATTCAAATTAAAGGAGAATAATGCAAGAGAGGTGAAATAAAAAATAGTTAATGAAATGAATTATGTGCTAGGTTTAATACAAGAAAATTAAGCAAGGATTATCTACCTTAACAACATTTAAGTTATTCGACAATTATTTTACAATATTCCATATTAACTGGGCAATGCACATATATTAAAAAATAAAAATAATCAAAGACATAATTTTTAATATGTGTGCATTTCCTCAAAGATTCAGTTAATATGGAATAGCAGAAGCATATGATTTCACACATTCATCTAGAAGGAAAAAAAACACAAAAGGAAATGTATGAAAATAATGGGATGCACATGTGGGTTAAATTTTTAGCACCAATAACGGTGCTGACCTGGCAATACAATTAATCAAAAAGAAAGAAAAGATAATCCCGGATTTTAGGCGGGTAGAAAATTCCGCTAAATTTTATAAAGCGCGATAAAAAAAAAGAAAGAAGATATTTTCGACGGTCCAATGGACCCCACTTAATAATACGTCATCAACTCGCCACCTCACCTCAGAGTTGTAAGGCTCAATTTTTTTGTAATCTCCGAAAACTTGAAACCAAAATTTACTTTTCCCACCAAAAGGCACAAACAGTTGCCTTAATCTATCCCCACGTGTACGTAACGTAAATCTAGGCCGTCCATGACAGGTGGGCAAGGTCAGTATAGTGGGCAGCTAAAGGATAAATCTCAACCCTATGATTTTCAATCGAGGGCTCATAAACTGCCCGAAACAGAAACGGGGCAGATCTTATTGCCTTTAAGAGGAGATCGTGGCCTTCAAGAATCTCATCTCTCAGGTTAAAGAGGGTCATCGAAACCCTTACCTTCCCCTTTGCTTCTTCTCCATTTCTCATTTGGTGAAGAAATAATTTCTTGTATTTTCTCCTGGCGGCAATTCAATTTCCCGGCAATACAGTTATGGGCTCCCGCCATTTTCTCGCCGGAGATTAATTGGCGGAGTTTTCAAGCTCTTTTTAAAACCCCTAACCTTCTATGGCATCAGCTGTTTTAACCGGCAGAAATGAACCGCACTGGGATAAACGGAATGCCTATAAAAGGAAATATACAACTAATCCCACTGCTCATTCTCAGCTCCACAGTCGATTCAACCCTAACCCTAACCCCAATTATAACCTTCAAAAATTTTCAACCATGTCCCATCTTCAGCAAGTCAATGATCCACTCCCAAGGGCTGCTCCGTCTCCGGCAATAATGGCTAGCAATAATGTGCCGTTCAATTGGAAACCAAATGCTGTTGATGATGGAACCGACTCATTTCACAGAGTGTATGTGACTTTCAATTTGGCTTCTTATTCGAGAAGCGAGTTGAAGGACCTTAAGAAGAGGCTAAGCTCTGATCTAGATCGGGTCCAAGGACTTCTAGACAGGATCGAAACTCAAGATTTCGTATCCAGGACATCTTTTCATGCCAGAGAAGTCATACAGCCACCGATGGCACCACCGCCTCAATCGGCATTGCTCCCCAATGTCAGTAGGCAGCATCGCCAACCTGATTTAGTTGGTAAAAAGAGCAAGAAGCACGCTGGAAAAAAGAGACCAAGAACATTAGACTTGGGGAAAGATCCTGAACGGCCAGTAGTGGTGGAAGGCGATAAGTTCTTTGTAAATATGATGAAGACGTGCCGGCAGATATTGGTGAAAATAATGAAGAAAAAATACGGGCGTGTGTTTAATGCACCAGTGGATGTTAAGGGTTTGAATCTTTATGACTATCATGATTTCATCAAGCATCCCATGGATCTCGGAACTGTGAAATCAAGACTGGACAGAAATGAGTACAGAACGCCACAAGATTTTGCAGCTGATGTGAGACTTACATTCACCAATGCCATGACTTATAACCCAAAAGGCCAGTATGTGCATATTGCGGCTGAGGAGTATCTTGGTATCTTTGAAGAGATGTTCAAACCAGCGTATGAGAAGTATGAAGCTGAGCACCATAAAGTTGCCACTATTATGCAGGTGAATCACCAGAAGAATCTGTCTCAGCCTGCACCAAATGCTAAGCGTCCACCGTTGCCAGTTGTAAAGAAATCAGGATCTGTGCGGTCACATTCCACTTTGTTGAATCAACACCAATCTCATATCCACTCTTTCAGTGCACCCGTTGCACCTTTTTTTGCAACCCCTGCTTCAAAATCTCCTCTACAGCCTGTTGTTGAGATGCCTAGGTCAGCTAAGATGCCCAAGCTGAAGGCTACGGATCCGAACAAAAGGCTTATGACCGAAGGTGAAAGGGACAAGTTAGGGAATGAGTTGCAGAATCTTCCCCCAGAGAATATGGGACATGTCGTGCAAATTGTGAAGAGGAAATTCCCTAATCTTACAGAGGATGGGAATGAGGTTGAGCTCGACCTTGAGATCATGGACAATGAAACACTGTGGGAACTGGATACATATGTTATTTCCCATAAGGAGGCTATGAGCAAGATTGAGAGACCAGGAGTCACAGAAAATGCCGCGGCCGTACTGCTCAACAAGGTAAAGAAATCATATGGTTTTTTCCCCCCATACATTTGTTTAGTAACTCTATATTGTGCCATGTGTGCTGATCACCATGTTGCTTTTTGTAAATAAGTCGCCTGAGAAGGCACCAACACCAGAACATGCAATGCCTGAAATCAAGAAAGTGGACGTTGTGGAGGAGGATGTTGATATTGGTGAGGAAATACCAGGTGAAAACTTTCCTCCTGTGCAGATCGACAAGGATCCAAGCAGCTCTAGCGGCTCAAGTTCTGGCAGTGGTTCTTCTTCCGGTGGTATAACTCTTTCTTTCTTTAGTTCATTCTGGTTAACAAGTGTGATGGTATATTTACTTTTGCCATGGTTAATATTTACAGATTCAGGAAGTTCTTCTGGGAGTGATTCTGATGAGGATAGTGTACAGTCACCTTATGTTGAAGCAGCACAAGAAGCTCCTACAACCTAAGCCATTAATGGGTTTGAATAGTGCTATGGTGCTTCTGTTAGTATTTTCTCTGGCTGCTTTTTGTGCATCTGTTTTAGCAGCACAGAAGATATCACAGTTTGGCTGGGTTTTAGCTTTTAAGAAGTATGACTAGTTCAAGATTAGGAAATTGAGAGGTTTTAGCTAACTACAGAGTAGTGGTAGGTAGGATGTTACAAATGGGGGACTGACAACAAACATTTTGGGTTTATTTTTTGCTTGTATACAGAACACCTGCTGATTCAGTGTTTAGTAAGGATAGAAGAAGTAAATTGTACAGTGCAGACTGATGACTGAGTTTGTAGAACAAAGCTGTAGTCTCTATGAACCCCAAGAAGTAATCTCATATGGATCTTCTGTTTCAACTTCTTATTTCTTTACTGCTTTTACTTTGACATTGTTCTCTAGCTCTGATGAAGTGAACACCACTTCTATATGAAAAGACAATCAGCACAAATTTGAAACAGCCAAACTAACATAATACTGATGTAATGTATCAAGAATCCTTGGAACTCAAGCAAATTCAAATTTACTGAATCACCTGCTTTGGGAAAATAAAACAAAGATTTTGTGTTTTGCTGTTCAATATAAGAAAAAAGTAATTTTGAGCAACAATTAGTGTTCTGGCTACATTTTTAAAAAGCATCTCTAAGTGCATTTTTCACAACAACAAAAAAATACTTTTAAAGCAAAAATTGTTTTTGTTCTAGCTTCTGAAAACAATTTTTACTACTCTCGAAGTACTTGACCAAATATCTCATTTGCAAATGCCTTTTCACTTCATGAAAACCAACTGGCAATATTAGATGTGTGTGGAGAAAGCTCCAACGGATTTGGTTCAATGGTCCATAGCCTCAAAAATCATTAAGCCACACTAGTAAAACATCAGCAAAGAAGATTCAATAAGTGTCTTTGCAAGGGAAAAAGATGACATATACCTGAACCTTGGTGGAACCTCCTACCACATGGAAAAGAGAAACTAGCTCTTCTAACTCAAGAGGCTGCTACAAGACTTCTTGTCTCAGAAATTTGCTCTTTTTGATGCCAAATGCCCGGTGACAGTACTTGCTCCATATTCCATAATTCACTTTACCTGGAGTTGTTTCACTTGTGAGGATAAGAGAAGTGCTAATGGGATATGTTAGTTTTAAAGACTCATTTCAAAGGCTAGAAACCTGGACCAAAGTTTTGTTTGGGTCACTGTTGCTGTTCAACATGCACCCTTCTGTTGAGCACTCCATTGAGCATATGCCTTTACTTATCCTGTCCTTATGAATGCTATTCATACTGTTGACTTAACCTGTCAACTCTTATTTTTTCACACGAAGAATCTATACCTTTCATTTTTGATAGAATTCAGTTGGATAACCTCCTAGTTGGATCCAACTTGTCATGGTAACAACGGGACTTCAGTTTCCAGGCTTCTGAACTAGTCTGAGATAGCACCACCAAGGAGGAGTTAACATAAGTGATTTAACAGAAACACGTTGGATGACAGGCAACGACATAGCTTCAAAAGTTCTAAATTAAGACCTTGAGAAAATAATACAAGTAATAGATGGAACCTTTAGTTGACACACTAAATGAGTTCTCTAATAGTGCCCCAAAAGGGAGGTGGAGAATGGTATACCGTAAATCTGCTCAGTCTTTCAGTCCTAAATACAAATGTTATTCTGTTATTGAAGAATTAGGAGCCAGTTCAGTGCCTGCCCATCCCAACAAAAGATGACTATGCATAAGGACAAAATGGATAACATTATTCACAACCAATAGAGTTCTGAATATCGGATATCCTGGATCATCACGATATTTACTAGCAAAGCCCTGCAGATAAAAAACCAGAAAAGCATTTCCACTAATCAATGCAGTCAACACACATCTTTAAACTCCATGAACTGCTCCCGCTCCCAAATCCTAAAGACTATAGGCACTGTGATTACAAATTCATTTCATATTGGTCTCACAAATCACATCAAGCAAGATGTTCATCCACTGAAAAGCCCAAAATTACATAGTTTTCTTGCTTGTTTGAGTAATAGGAAGAAGATTTTTCAATCCTGCTAAAAATATGTAGGATTTTCAGGAAAACAAAATGACATTCCTTTGATCAGAAATAAAGAGACATATCAAAATCTTGATGGTTGAAGCCGAGATAGACAGGAGAGGAAGTTGCCAACTATCAAACACATCCCCTACCAAAAGTTTAGGAGTTATAATACTTATATACAAGAAAGTTATGAAAGGGCATGGATACTTCTGGCGACTGGAATGTTGAAAACATAGTAAATATGGTCAGCTAACCAATATTTGCAATACCCAGGTCCAAATTTTCATGGGCATTGTGGGAAAACCCTGTATGTGCTTACTGTTTGATGCAAATAAGGTTGCCGCACTATTGCAGTTAATATTAAGGGGAGATTTCCAAATCGAAACCAGAAATTTCTTCTGAAATATGTATTTGTTAATAACTGGCAACTTAATTTAGTTGACATACAACGTGACTTATGAGCGTTCTTGTCTGATTATGCCTTTTTGTTATATACTGTATATACCAGGCAATACTTTACAGTGAACAGTTTTTTCACAAAGCTGTTTAAACTTTGCGCAACACATTCAAATACACTTCTACACAGGGGCGGAGGCAGCATATACCTAGGGGGTTCATCCGAACACCCTTGGCGAAAAATATTACTATTTATACATGGTTAAAATTATTTTTTAGGTATGTATAATAGATGTCGAACCCCCTTCCACTAGTTCGTGTGTTTACTTCTCAGATTTTGAACCCCCTTATTAAAAATTCTGGCCCCGCCACTGCTTCTACATGAAAGTAAATGATGCTAATGGGAAAAATAATCACTACACAGATCGACTGCAGTTGTTAGTATGCTGAGTCAATACATATACTGTTGATGAAGAGAACCATGTAAACATGACAAGAAGTTAGACCTGCTCAAAGGTAGGAAATGGTAAAAGGATTTGTTCAAGATGTCTAGAGATAGAATAGATCCCCAACCTATCTTGTGATAAGTATCTAACGTCAGCAAAGGTCATAGTTGAATTTGTCAATCATAATGGTTTCTCTTAGGAACAGAAGCAGAAAATAGCTAAATGAAATTTTATGAGTCCATAGCTTCTAAGCTGAAGAATGAAAACATCAGGAAGGGAGTTTTCTTCTATAAGAATAAAACAAATACTAGGCAGATTAGGCTTAAAAACTTGTTAAAAAGACTTCCATTCATATTTCCATTTCTCAACCTTCTACTCCAACATCTGGGACAAAGAGACCATGATGACCCACATAATAACATAAGTAACTGGACTAACAAGGAACGAACCAACCTGAACAAACTTCAATTTCTCAGAACACTGGAATGACAGGGCCTTTGAAGTCTATGATACTGATAAACTAATCCTATTCTAAGAGAATTTGTTGATTGGTATCAAGCATGTTATTGAGCCACTTTGACATTTTTCACTTTACCCTTTAGTTCTTTCCTGTGTTGCAACAAAACTCAAATAAGACTCATAAATTTTACTCATACACGCTTCATCTAAATTAAGAACCTGTTCCCTCTTAGCTTTCAGAATGACACTGCCAAAAATATATTGTTCACGAAAATCCCACATGTAGTCTTCCTCATTTAGTGCTGGCAAGAAACAAAAAATTATGGAATCATTCAATCCCAGGAAAGCACAGGTTTATGGAACTAACTAGGAAAAGATAGATTCCGGATTAGAAGTGAGAAGTGTTTGCTATTCCCTCAAGTAAAACATAGCATTCAGATTTATTTGAATGAGGTGAGACAAATCAAGGAAATTTATGATGTCAAAAACATCATGTAAATGGTCGACATGACCAAACTACAGAATCGTAGTTACACTTGTTGGATGGTAACAAGATGCTTCAGCAGCATCATAAGTACCTCTTTTGTCAACCATGTACTTTGAAGGGAGTAAGATCCTTCTCAATCCATTAGATCTTCCACTTATTTTCACGAACACTGAACATAAACAACCTAAGAACTAGTCTCAAACCCGTGTTCCGAAATCCCGAATGGGTTGATGATTTCTGAACACGTTTAGTTACTATCTACTGTCATTGATAAAATCAGATGGAAACACTGTGGGGGTTGAATCAACCAGTTCTTTTTTCCCCCTCAATTTCAACAACAATTTAACTATAAAAGTTGTAACTCATACTACATTTATTTAAATTCTAATTACGCCATAATTCACCGCAGTTAACCTTCTCTGAATAAAACACCTCCATCTGTTTAGGAAGGAGAGATTGTTATGTAAGATAATAGAAGCTAATTAATGTAAAATTAGCACGAGTCATGGGAAACTCGTCCTGGGTGGATCACAGATCATTGATGAACACCATATCACATTAGATCCGTGACAGAAGAACCCTAAAGCTTACAAAAAGGACTAAATACTTTAACACCAATAGAGAAATTAGCAGATCGCATGGTAAAATCCTCAAAAAGGAGTAGATGCAGGAAAACATACCTTAAATTTGACGCTGCAAGGAAAATTCCACATGAATCTCCAAATCAACCTTCAAAAAACTATCTACTCTACATATCTAAAATCAAATGACCTATCTACTCTACATATCTAAAATCAAATGACCAAATAGAACTCTACAAATAGATGCTTCATAAAAGCTATACCCAGCTCACGCACAACATAAGGTGGAAAATTTAATCTAGTAGTCATTTATTTATTTTAACCAATTAAGTAGGAATTTTCATTTTCGTAAACTGAAAACAAAACAAATTACGCATAATCGAAACCTGATTTTCCTCATCACTGATATTAGGCAAGGACCATTTTTAAGATAAAAATTTCTTGTGTGTGGTGGAATTAAACTGACTGAATTTTATTTTATTTTATTTTATTTTCTCTTGCCTCTTGTTCTTCTGCTGACGGCAGAAATAAGGAGGAGCCTATGTGGATTTATAAATTGTGATATGATAAGTAAGAAATGTCATAGAAGGGATGCTTTGTAAATTGGAAAATTATTACCTTAATACTCTCATGTGAATCATTTATCTTGCGTTAATACCATAGTATCGTACATATTTTTTTTAATTATATTATAACCATGTATATATATAAATAAAAAATAAATTAGAGTTAACAATCCACCAGTACGATTATGGTATCTTTAATATACATTTGCCTCTGCTGTCATATTGTATTATACATGTCAGCTACGAAACAAGGTTAGCTAATGCTTACTACACATTCAGTTCCCACTTTGTTAAGTGTGTAGGGCCAAGCAAGTCTTTATTTCAATTTGTTTGTATTATTTATATAGTCAAAAAGTATTTTTTTTCAATCATAATTATTTCTACTCCTTTACAATTTACAACAACTACTCCCATGTAAATGATTTCCGTCATACCAAATGCAAGAACTGCCACAGCCTCCACTGTTTGCTGCTCCTTTTGAGACCTCTACATCCACATATATAACATTGCCTTATGAGCAACACAAGTTCAGACTACTTCTGTTGCCCTATTCATTTGGCATGCATTAGTTTCTTCAGTTGAAGTATTCTTATCCTTCAAATTGTTGCCAATGCTCAGCAAGTTACTATACCCTTCCTTTCTCAAAATATCACCTAGTATAAAAGCTGTTATTATCCCAGGCAAGAATAGCCACTCTTCTTTGACCTGATTTTTCAAAGAAACATGTGCAGTCAGGCAGATGTAAACCCATGTTTTCGAAATTGAAACAAGTAATGTACTGTAAACGAATATTATGACTTTACATTGATAACACCAGATTTTAAGTCAAGCAACGCCAGTGCCTTTCCGTATGGGTGCTCTGAAGAGAATTCAATTGCTGTCATAAAATCATCTTGATTTCTTCGCTTTGCACAATGCTTGTGCTCATAATCCAATTTTTGACCAGGGAAGAACTTTACCTGTGAAATGAGTAAGGAAACTGTATATTATGGAGAGCAAAGACCACGTGAACTTGTGAAAAACATCAATCATTCTGTCGATGAGTGAAATTAAATAGTGAAATAGTGACAATCTTAGGGACATGTAATGAACTTGTTTATAATAAAATTTGCAAGGAATAGTGGATGAACACTCACAATCCTGGAACCACCAACCAACTCCAGAAGGTAACCGTCATCGCCACTGCAAGTTTGAAATTTGAGGGACCAGTGGGAATCCAACAACAGCCACTCTTTCCCAACTAACTCAGCAAGAGTATGTGTCTCACCAGCCTTGTTGATGCCGATCAACTCATTTTGCAACATAGAGCCATTCATTCTCCTTGATTTCTTGGATTTCCTGCAGTCAAGTCATGAATTTCAGGAGAATAGATGAAGTTCAATACAGCTGACGGTTTCAAACTGCAATAAGTAGAGGGTGACAACAGTATTTAACTTTTCTTAATTCACCGAATTCAGTGGAATGGTATAAGTGCTTAGAACTCTCACTTAAGTCAAAACAATTACATTATTCCACGCACTTCCAAATAAGACGGTCCCCTTCCACCAAATCAAAGAGTTAGGCTTGATTAAAAACATAAAAAGGATTTACTCCCAAGTTCATTTTAAAGGAATAGTAATTTTCTCAATATTTTAATGGTGATGTTAAAGGTTCCCGATCTGTTAATTTATGACCAACACAAAATGTTACAATCAATTGAACGTTAATCTTGAATTAGAGGTAAAAGAAAAGTAAAGCTGATATATGCAAATGAGAAAGTCAAGAAACTAGAACAACACTAACAACAAAGTATACCAAAGAATACATACCTCATTTGTAGGCTAATGATCTCATCACCAGCATCATCAGTGACATGAGTCCAATTCTTTGCATACTGAATCCTTCCACGAAATGTGAAAAAACAAGAAATTTTTGAGAATGCTCGGGAGTAAACCATGTGAAACACATATGGTGCAGCACTAGGTGTTGTAACTGATACAGCTACTCGTATACAGATTGGTTCCAATGCTTCTATTTTAGTGCTTGGCACAACTTCCAGCCATTTTTCCATTGTGAGGCAGGTCAAATCTTCTAAAGAGAGGGGAGTAGAACCTATAACTTCAACAGATTTTGAAATCGGCAAACCATGAGATGACTGGGACATGAGTTCTAATAGAAGATATCCACAAGGTTCACATTGGAAGTAAGCAACCTGCTTTTCCCCACTCTCAGACAAAATTGTAAGTTTCTTTTTTGCATTAAAGATTCTATCAGGCTGTGACTTGCTAAAGAAAACAAAGAAGTCTCCCTTGTGGCCTTTGGGTAAGTTTCTTATGCCTATGATCTCCAACATGACCTGTAAAAATAGTTGCTAAAAGTTACAAATTTTGAACATCACATGGTTCAAAGCTAAGATCAGTTTAACAGATGATAACTATATAAGGTATGGATGATAAAGAACCTAATAAATAGCAATAGTTCTATCAAAAGCGTTGAAGATTGAGACAGAAGAAAAGGTTTATTCTGTACTGTTGTTGGTGATCAAGCAATCGAGGTTGCACAAAATGCATTGACCCAATGCCAAGATAACAAAATAAGATAGAGAACAATAGGCTTAAATTTCCTAAAAAGTTTAAAGTTTTAATCAAAGAATTGATGTCCGATTAAAGTGGCATGGAATGTATTGGTTCCTATATGATCTTCAACTCCCCTTGCACACTGATGGATGGCAACAAGTCAATTCTATAACGTCATCACATACTCCAGATCCCCTCTTTATACTATCTTTTAATATATAGCGGTAATGAATTTCATTAGATGTATCTACCAAATTATATCAATAGTCCCAACAAAATAAAAACAAAAGCAAAACAGGCTTTAGAAACAACTAGAAAGGGATTCAGAAATTTACGTCCAAAATTTTCATCTCTGGAAGATGAATTATCTTGTGATCCGCATGGAATGTATCTGCCTTCTCGGTCACGGGATTGGAGGGGTAAGGACAACTTCTTAGAGGAGATGGTGTATTTCCTCTATACATTGCACCTGCCCTCCAATATCTTAACCCATACGTCTCCTCCCAAAACTTGGTAGTTCCAGAAAACCCAGTATCCAGCTTCTTCCCTTTTGTTCTGTCTGAATCTGTATCATCATGATTTAACACCTTACCCATAATATCAACAAGGTCTTTACAATAAGAAATAGGATGTAACTGATGAGTGTGCCAGATAAGATCAATGTCATAAGTTGGAACAGAGAAGCTATCAATTGATCTTTCTTTGTTTCTTCGGATTAAGTGTAAGAAACCCTTGTATCGAGCCACAGCTCCATCAAGATAGACCTCGCTAGTCATGTGGGGTCTAGACACCTGGACGAAATACATGAAATAAGACCAAAAATAATGTGTACTATTACTATACTAGCAAGTCTGAACAATCCGGTATCAATAAAAAGATCATAAGAAGACATTCTAACATATACATCATACACTATATTCAAAGAAAATTATAAAAGAAATTAAAGTTTGTGAGTTCTCACAAACTGTATTTCTTAATTGTTCAGCCTGTGCTTTACTTAAATAAAAGTGTGTGAATCCTCTTACTCACCTGGTAGAAGAAGGGGCTTTGCCTTTTAACAGCAGAGACCAGATCATAGGTACTGCACTTTTCAGATTTTAGAATTTGTGCAGGGTTATTATCTGAAAGAGCTTTTGCTGAATCCAAGTCATAGGGTTCATTAGGATACAAGTGTTTCCAAGTCTCTTCTGTTTCCATTTGTGATATTCCTTTCACGGAAGATACAATGTTATGGTTGTCAAGAATCTTCCCATATAATTCCTCGCAATCAGTTTTGTATCTAATCTGCAAAGACAGAATAACCACTCCAAGTGTCATAAAAAGCACTCAGTCAGAAAGGTAAAAATGGAAACAAATGTTTAATAGTTCAGAATCCTACAGGATTGAGCCTGTGACAATGCCAAATCCATTCACAATCAAGGGGAACAACCAAAGGTCCTTCAAAGAAGGGGCAGTCTGAGTGTTTTGCCAACAACGGTAGCCAACACGAATAGTACCTGAAATGGGGATTTTCATTAGCAAGTTTCTCCAAAATAAAGAAATCTGAAATACATGAATCTGGGTCAGATGCCCAAGATAACAGAAACAATCTCACGTCCTTTTCAAGGATCACCGAACATAATACTATGCAATATGAGCGAGAAGCAAACAAACTTCAAATCTAAAATTTCAAGATACCATTTTTCACTTTGAAAATAATAAAAAAAAAAAAACTTAAAACTTTTTTCAAATTTCACAATTTTCACGGCCAAAGGGACCCTAAATCATTATCCAACATAATAATCAAAATATTGCAACATTAACTGTTATTAGTATTACTCCAAGACCATAAGACTAAAAAAATATCTAATACAGAAAGCTTTCTGAACAAGCAGTAAAAATCATTAGCTAAGATGCTGATACTGATAATTTCAAATTTGGGGATTACCTATAAATTGCTATATCCAAACCAACGCCTTCATTGAGCCAACGATTCCTATCAATGGTAGCAAGAAACTCAAGTTGCTGTTTGGCTGCAGCAACAAGGTCAACATTGATCACAATCTTCTGCGCTTCATTCCACTCCAACTGCTGCTCCATCTCCATGGTTTCTTCCTCCACAAGCTACTGAGTTGACAACACAATCGATAAATTGCAGAGATATATGTTTTTAGCAGAAAAGTCAAGACAAGTCGCCACTTGGAGAAAGTAAATTGAGAAGTAAACTAATGATCGCCGGACAACTCTACGGAAACAGCGACTCTCTTTTTATATTGTCAAATAGTTTGGACGTATTCAACGTTCCAAATTTACATAGATTTTGCTGAGTAATTTCAAGGAAAGCTTCGAGTTTGAACATCAATATTTATATATTAGCATCTCTCCGAGGCTCGTTTGGTTTGGGAAAGATGTTATCCATTGTTATACATGCGACATAAAATAATCTAATCCAATAAAAACATGAATAAATTTAT